TTCTGTAAAGTCTGGTGAAAGGAGTATCAGACCCATCCTCAAAATATTCTGATCTTACCTTTTCTGCCTAACACAGGGGCAGCAAGATGAACAAACTAGTTATACATGCATGGAAAGTAGCAAGCTGAAAGTAATTGTGTATTCAGTTTTAATGGAGCTGAATCTCCTGCTGAGATTTCAATATCTGACAGCATTGCTTTCATTGCCCCAAATGCCCAACCTTTTTCTAATGTTTGACCTTGGGTATGATTATATTTCTGTATGTATCTCAAACGATGCAAAATCATTTGCCTGTATCAGTCGTCTCTCCCTGATAGTCCTGTTCCAACTTGTGGCAGAAGAGAACAAGTCTGATGGCAGTGACAATAGCTCAAATGAGCTTTGATAGATGGTCTCCCCTTTCGATAGAAACATAAAGCATCTCTATAATGTCATTTTGTTAACTAATAGACAACAAAAGGAGAAAGGCATTCACTTTTAACTCTATTGCATGCCATTATTTTCTCGTTGCCTTATTTAGTGTATATAAGTGATGTGGCCTGCAGAATAAAGGACAGCACTGCTGCTTACGGTGTTGGTTATTTATTTTGTTTTGCACCCACGGGGCCCACCTGTTAAATGAGAACGGTGCAGGTGTGTGAACTGTGGCTCTGCCACAGCCTCTTTGCCCCAACAGACTGCCCCACTAACCTGGCTCCGCTCTTGGCAGCTTTGGCACGTGATGAAGAGGTGCCTCCAGCACTGGGCAGGGGATTTGTGAGGATAAAGGGACTGCTTTTTGAGTGCAACCCAAACAGGCAGTCTGTGTGATTAATGTTCCCATGCTAGTAACAAGAGTGTATCCCTAAAGAGGGAAAATCTGATAGCAGCCTCTTTTTCGGGGCTGTGTAAGCTGGGTACATGATTTTAATAGTACACCATTAAGGTATTTATTTTAATTTAAAAATAATAATTTTTCCCTTGTTGTTTGCAATTGCCCACTAGAAATGAAATCCCTTTCCTGACCGAGTATCCTTTACAATCCTACGCTGGTTGTTATTGCAGGTTGCCTCGGGAGTACCGAGTTACTGAGGTTCAGACTTTCTTCAGAAATGCTGAGGGGAGTTGAACAGCAGTTCAAAACGCAGATAAAGAAATACACGGACCGTGCAAACAAAAGTAAGTGGAATAAAAAGAGATGTGTTTACTAGAGTGGTGGAAAAAAAAAAAATTGTCCACAAAGAAGCCACTTGGTCTGATTACAGGACTCGTTAGGGATGCAGAGCACTAAGCAAGTTCACTGGAGTTTGAAATCCCAAGGGCAGTTTTGGGTTTCTTTCTGCGGACTCCAGAAAGTGATTTAATAATTCATTTGAAACCGTGCAAAACTTTGTTGATTTATTTTACTCCCTCCTCAAGCAGATCTTTAGTTTTGCTTGGAGATTTTAACCCAATGTTGAGGAAGGCTAAACAGATCAAGATCTACACCCCGAGACTAAACCAGAGACTTTCACGTGTGTTTGGGTGAACACGGGCAATCTGGCAGCTGCTTTGACTGAATTTGCAAAGAAAAGAGGACATGGGGAGACTTTGAGAGATTGACTTGCTGTACACTGGCCTGCCTCGGCACAAGCTCTGCTCTTCCCAAGAGCGGGGACAACGAGGAGTCAGGGCATGCAAGGGGCAGGGGTGTTGGAGGTGCCTGATGTGCTGCGTGCGTTCAGGAGTGAGCACAACCAGTGTGCTTATCTAACGCGATAAAAAGCGTGCTGCATGAGCCCAGCTAGGCAGCAGCAAGTACAACAGGGCTTTGGGGATGTCAGCATTTAATATTCTGCTCAAGAATACCAGCCGTAATATCAATACGTTAATACGTTCGTCAGTCCAGGAAAAACGTGCAGTTTAAACATAAGTGAAGTGTTAGCAGTAGAAGAGATACAGTGGTAAGGTGTTAACTCTGGCCTCGTAATTAAATGTAAATACACCACAAGAGCAAAGCCAGGGGACTGTGTAAACAGGTAAAGGGGGAAATATGGCTCTTTTCCTAATGGCTTTGCTTGGCCTATAGCGGTAGGAGATTTATTAATCAGAATAAAAAAGGATTCTGTGAAGAATTCATTTATTTATGTATTTTATGCAAATTCAAGATACTGCCTTTAACATCTTCCTGCTTTTACTGGTAACAAATTTTTCCTGGTAAATTTATATTTACTCCTCACTTGCAAACATGAGACTGTTTTGGTGGTTATTGTTGCCTGTGTTTTAATACTAACAGCTTCTTCCTGAGTGTCTTTTATTGTGGCATATAATCATAATAGTTTGCATAAATTCTGACATTTCCAAAGAAATCATGATGTTAATATTTATTGGCCACTTACTGCGTTCCAGTGGCTGCCTCAGTTGTGGCAAAGTCCTCCACTCCAAGGCAATGCATTAAAACATTCAAGTTACCAATCACTGAGGTACCACAAACATCCACAACATGCAGAATTTTTCTGCTTGAATCATGGTTTTAGGTGTTTAGTTTTTCTTCTCTCTCTTTTTTTTTCTTCTCTCTCTTTTTTTTTTCTTCTCTCCAGGATGAAACCTGGCTTTCAGCAAGCAAGCAAAGTTACATGAATTTCTGCAAAATATATTAAAAAAAAAAATCCTTTGTAACTACATCCTGGAAATAACTTCTCTAGTAGAAAAGCCTTTCACAAAATATAGGGGATTGTTTTAGGGAGGAAAAAATGTGTATGTATATGTGTATCTCAGATAAAAATACTACTGTACTCGGTCTATGAGTAGCTGTCCAAAAAATGAAACATAGCCCGTGGTAATTTTTTAGTTGTATACATGTACATTTCTGGTGAAAAATGGAAGTTCCTATGCAGAAAGTCAGAACAACATGTACAAGCAGCCCAAATTGGTTTTGATTAACAAGGTTTCCTGCCTGGAAGTCACTTTGTCTTCATCCCGTTAGCTAGACTCAACAAAACAAATGAGTCTAATGTATTAGGCTTAAACACAAATCCTTGCTGTGTGGATGCAAGGAAAAATCCTCTCTTAAGAGGCATGCAGCCATCTTATATATGTAATAAGGTTGCTATTTTTTAATATTCTCTAAGTTTGTAGGAAGGGAACGCAAAATTTTTTGCCTCCGCACTGTTGAGCTCATGCCTATTATTCTCAGGTATGGATGTATTGTGTATTCTCAGGTATTCTCATGTAGGGATGCATTGACTGGTAGGATGAGTCCCTTTGATTCTCTGCTGTACAGGTTTTATAGCTCTTATCCTTTTAATAAACTAATTTATTGGGTTCTACTTTTGGAAAAAGGCCATGTGAATGTGATATATTTTTGTCAAGGATTGACAGGTAGGCAGTGTTGCTGTGTGAAAATGTCCGCATTCTTTGAGGACCACCTCTCACCAAAGGGAAAATGTGCTAACCAAAGCAAAAAATAAATAAATATATATACATGTATATATGGATATATAAAAATTTTGCATACGTGCCTACATCTATTTTTCCTCTTTTGCAACTGTCTGTGGGGAATTTTTATTTTTCTCATGTTATTTCAACTTGCATGCTTAGAAAGTCAGGAATAATGTAATTTTTTTGGACCGTGAAAAAATATGCATGTTCATACTCACTTTGTGACTGTTCAGTAGTTAATGCAAATTTCCAATTTCCAGATTGATCAGTTATATAAATGTTGGTAACGCTCACTATGGTTGCTCTGTTTCTGTAAGTATTCCAAATAATCTCTTTTCCATAATATTAATAGGTAGCTTACATTTAAGCTGTATTTTCTTGGGGGAGGAGAAAGAGTAGTTGTGTGAGTATAACCAGACTGCTTCAAGGCATTTTGCCCTCTAATTCCAGCCTACCCTCCATGTATCTACTACAGAAAATGTGTTTAGATTCAAAGTCATCTTGGGAACTATTAGTAGGTGCCCTTGAAATCATTTGATGTTCTCTGTAAGTAAATGTGAATATCCAGACAGAAACTGATTGTGTACCATAAGCGAGATTATGTAAAAGCTGAAGATGACTGAATTTTCTTTTTTTTTTTTTTGGTGTGTGTGTGTATGTGTGTGTGTGTATATATATATATATTTAATTTTCTGAGCTATGTAATACGTAACTTTGTGTTATTCTTAAGGAAGCAGCTATCGCTATAAAATAGCAGATAGATCGCCACTGTGTTCATTAGAATTTGGCACTGTCCTGTCTATGTCACCACCAACAGAAAAATCATGTGCTTAACCAGAGTGCAGTATCTTCACTGGAAACCTAGTGGGAGTGCTAGTGCTTTTTCTGGTTATACTTTAGTATATTATCTAAGCCAAATAGCTAAGAGAACAAATTCAAACATAATCTGTATTTCCTTAGTGTTCATTATCTTGTTACTTAAAAATTGCCTGTGAAAAAGTGAACACATTCATGGAAACATGACTAAAATACTCTTAATAGAAAATATATGAAAACAAAACATTATTCAAATTAAAATATACAATTGCAACTTGCACTGTTGTGTTCAGCTCCAGTAGGCACACTGAATTGTCTTTTTTCCAAATGGATAATTTATTTAATTAACCAAGATGCAATGAATTTTAAATTGTATATTAAAATAGAAAAATTAGGTAGTTAGGAAAAAATATGATGTGGTTTACATACATAATCACTGTTAAGAAATATTTTATTGCATGATTGAAAATTGCAGATGGCAGTTTACCGTAATACAAATTTTGTTTAAAAAAATCTTTCCTTGCCCATGTGATTGTGATAGGTTTGAATAAGTTCTGAATATTTTTAAAATTTGAATTAAGTCACCTTTAAAAATTACTTCTTGCTTGGGTATAACTTTTCATAATGGATAATGAAGATTTTCCTTTTTGGTCATTGTTTGTCAACTGTGAATATATTACATTAAGTCTTATACTCTATGCTTATGTCAAAAAATCCACGTGCGCTTTATGTATTCAACCTTTTTCATATAAAACAGAGTCAGTGTGTACAAAGTTCTACCTAGAAATTTTCACATAAATTTTATTCTGAAATTTCTATCAAGGACTGTACTTCATTGCAGTACACACTGCTTGATCCTGTTTATCTACATAATTTAAATGCAACCCTGAAGGATATAAACACAGTGACAGTTTTTAAACATACTTTCTGATAATCAGCACAAACTATTACTTGAACCTATTCAATAAAATAACACTGACAGACGGAATTCAATGACCCTCAATAACAACAGATACAATCTCATTGTATAAAATTATATTATGACATGATTGTGTTGTCTTGAGTTATGACTTTAGGTTGTCTGCAATATGGCATGCTTTTTCTTTAGGAAAAAAAATGATACTTATTGACATTGAGATAATGCAGGATCTAAATTGTTTAGCCCAAGATTCTGTAATGAAAAAAAAAAAAATAAAGTAAAAAGCTGTGTGCATTCAACAAATAAATAAACACTAATTTACTGTTGACAAGTGTTTTGTTAGCAAGAATATGAATTTTGCTTTATGAAAATTTCTTTGAGGGGACAGATTCTTCTGTAGCTCACTTTGACACCCAGTGGCTTCGATTCAGTTCAGTTTCCAGCATGGGTAGGATGGCAAGGAGCTCTGCTAGTGGCAGCTGGCAAGAGGTCTCCCTCCATGGGATCTGGCCAACAAAGCTCAGGCAGCATCCAAATGGGTATTTAATGGTCAAAGAGCCAAAGTAACTTCAGACAATCAGGTTCCCTTAGCTTTGGGGGAACTCATACGACTAACAAAGATGGTGACAGCTCCTAGCCAGGAGAGTCAATGTTCTCACCTTCTGTCTCCCCTCTTCATCTGAGCTCCCAACTCTGGAGAATGAACCTTGCAAATTCGGCATGCTGTAGGGTATCTGATGGGGTAAAATTGCTGAGAGAGAGAATAGCACACAGGACATCTGTGTTTTATGTGGCCCACCATCATAAGTCTTTAAGCTCCAGATAATGTGCAAATGAGTGGGGCAAAGAATAGAGGGGCTGCTGACAGGGGAAGGGCCAGGCCTGGCTGAGTTTGTGCTCTTGGTGTCCCCCAGTAGCTCCATCAGCATTGGGCTCCCTGGTTGTTTGTTTCCCTTTCAGCATGGAAACTGATAAAATTATGACAATGAAATTGGATTTAAAGAACCAGGAAAGGTCCACGTTCCTTTAGACTCATGGCAAATCTCAGTTGGAAGCTGCTGACTGACACCTTAGAGATTTCTGGGCAGAGACATGATTCTGGGCTGCCACCCCCCAGTGAAACAAAACGGCATAGCCAGAATAAAGTAAAATACCAATTTCTGCATCTTTAGAAGAGGGATTTTGGTAAATTGTGAGAAACTTGCAAATGTCTTCAGTCAGCCTGTATGAGGTAAAATAACCATTAAAAGGTGTCCACCAGGGTAATGCTTTTTCAGTTGAGAGGAATAAATATTTTTGTCAAAAAAGCCAGCGCTTCTGAACATTGAGATTCCCAGTGCATTCAGATGTTGAGGTTTTTGGTTTTGTTTGCCCATATCATGCAGTATAGCCAATGATTGTATAACACCATTATTACAAGGAGGTTAGAAACACAGAGCTTGTTTATGAATAAATAATTTGGTATCTGATCTGCAAGGTAGCAAGGACACTTAGGACATTCTGCATCTCTAAGGATGCAGTGAGCAGGAGGCATATGTGGCAGGAAAACAGATTTATGAGCAGGTAAATATGGGGAGAAAAGGGACATGAAGAACATATAGCATTACTTAAGCTGATATAGAAATATAAGTGAGACAGATATGGAAGCTATAGCTGTTGTATGCATTCACAGATTAAAACTTTGTTTTTCGCATCTGCTTTGCTGGCCTGGGAGCATTCAGAATGCTTTCAGAGGTCCATTACCAAAGCAGGGTGATGCTTGGCTGTCTGCTGCTGCCCCATTATCGGGGAGGCTTTGCTGGGATCCAGGGCGTCTTCACCGCTGCAGCGCTCCGGAGCCACCCGCTCTGAGTGATACAGGAATAACCCCGCTCACTGTGGCCAGCCAAGTTTTTTGGAGGGGCCTCCCCACCGCTGAGTCAATGTAGGCGTGGATGCGTGTGTTTCTGCTGTCTGCACGGCACTGAAACGCAGCAATGCTATTGAACGCCCTGCCCAAGCCCCGCGGTGGCTTGGCGCGCTGTGCTCCCGCATAAATAGTCTCTCTTACCTCTGAAGTTTCCCTCGTCTCCTGCAGCAGTGCCAGGGGTCAGGCACACAAAGGTGCTGTCCCCTGATTGCAGCAAACACCGCCATGTGTTGTATGTTTGATGAATTAAAAGGATGCTGCCAACTTAATTACACTGTAACCCTTCAATAAAGGAAGGGCAGAGCTGATTAACTAGTGAATAATTGGGGGCTGATTGATGGCTTTCTCCCTCACTGCTAAAGGCTGTATATATAATTATTTTGCCTGTGGGCCTAATTTTGCCACTGTTAGCTTCCACTTTTGTCATCAGCTGTAATTTATGGATGGGGCCTGAAGCCTTAAAAAAGGCTGGAAAATGAAATAGCCCCGAATCCCCAGATATGTCACCTGGAAATGGCCAGCAGGCAGCCTTTAACGTCAACATTTGCAGCCATTTAGCAGCATTAACACCTCATGCTTAGCCGGAAAATAATATTATCATTTGTCAACAACTATCATAATATAGATTTTTTTCCTGACATGTAATAATGTTGCATCACTCACAGCAATGATTTAATATATGTTTTAAATGCAAGATCAATTTGCTGTAACTGAATAGAAAATTCTTCTATTAATGCACTTTAAAAATAAAAAGAGAGCAAGAGATGGAGGAAGAGCCGTGTCCCCTCATTGCACTGTCAGCTCGGTTATGGATTCAGTTTGTAAGTCTCTTGTGAACCCCCCAAATCACTGCAGTTGGGGAAACTTGGTTTAAAAACTCCTTTTTTCTTTAGACTTCGAAAGATTCAGCAGCAGTTTCAGAGAAAATCCAGTTAATAAATGAATGAACTTCTCTCCACCATACTTAAAAAACATTGTGGGACAATTTTTCATCTCCTGTCAGTCAGCAGAGCTGCATCTGAGCCTGTACAGCTACGCTGGTTTGTACAGGATGCAGATCTGGCCTTTTGTATTTTAAATTGAAATAAGATTTCTTATTTTTGTTTCAGAGACAAAAGCTAATCATTAATTCGGCAGTGATAGTAAATGTCAGTCTTTTTTGAAGATCTGAATTGCTTCAATATCAAAGAAGAGAGATGCCCCCCAAAAGAAATACTAATATGGGAAAATACAACATCCTGCTTAGGGCTGCTCCGGTGGCTGCACGCGAAGAAGCGCTTCCTGGTTTAGATTCCACAAAGATTTTTTTTTCAATAATGTAATAACAACTTAGATTCCCATTTTTTTGAAACCCACATTTAAACATTGCAGAGAGAAGGCTTCTAATTTATAAGCCAAGATATACAAATCCTCTCTCTCCGATTTCCTTTGTTGTTTTGTCCTCGCAGAGCACTCCCTTGCCTATGAATCACATAAAGATTTGAAGAACCTTTCAGTCAAAGCTCAGTAGTGTGCCAGTGGGCACTGGCCAGGAAAAAAAAGATTGATATTTGCCCTCTCTTCTTATCTGCACTTGATTTATAAGTCAGTGTGAGTATGCAAGAGAAATAAAGGCAAAGACCTTGATGCCTCCCTGTGGAGAATATGCACCATTTGGATTGAAGGCATGAAAGAGGAGAAATTAATGGTAAGCTGTTCATCTGTCACTACTGCCAGCCTGATGGTTTTGCAGAGAAGGAGAGGACTAGATGACATGCCCTCCAGTCAAGGGCATGACTGCCCGCTGTTCTCATATTATAAACACAGTGCTTTGGGTTTCTGAGGGATTTAAATTTAAATTATACTGTACTTTGGATAGGCAAATCTTTACACAAGTTTATTTTCTTGAAGTATTAACATGCAGGATTTTGCTGGCTTTATGTGGGAGAAAAATAAAAATTAAGTCCCCCTATTTGATAAAAATGTGTAGCAGACTCTTAAAGTGTATCCATATTTTTAAAGCAGTATGTTATAGTGTAATGAGATTTAAATTTATATATGCATTGAAGATTTAGGCACATGCATAAATAGATAAGCTTTAGTTATTCTACTTCCTGGCACACAGGGAAAGATTAAAAAGTTCAAAATGGGAGCTGAATGTTTTTTTCTATTAAAATGGTATAATGGTGACACTGCTGCTATCGATGACAATATTAGGAACACATCTGGGGGATGAAACCTGACACAAAACTTTCATATTGTGTTAAATGACAAGAAAAATGTACTTGTTGCTAAATGACGTATTTGCAGCACTGAGCACGTTGTGTACGCCCTTGCTGCAGCTGTCTGTCAAAATATTTCCGTGCGGTACCTGACACAAAGGATCGCTGGGCTGCTTGAGTCCTCGAGATGCTTCTGCATCACATCCCATGTCACAGACGCTACCAGCGCTTACTGGAGCAATTTTTGAAGCCTTGCATGGTTTGGCTAAAAGCATGAGAACTGGTTTTCACTGTGCACAACTTCGGGGCTGAGATTTTGTGTTACTGCTACCCACACCAACTTGCTATTTAAAGCCCTCTTTGCTGGGACCAAGCAGAGGGATGGGAATTTCTGTTTTCCATTTTAAAAATGGAAAAGCAAGTGACTGGTTCGCTGCTTTCACGTAACCTTGGGTTTTGTAAACTAAAGCCCTTTGTAAAAGGGCTGCATTGCCAAGACAGGTGTGTAGTGTGATTGTCCGCATCTCATCATCACTGCAAGTTCTGAGTTCATCACTGCCATACAGGCAGCCAAAGAGGAGATGGAGGTGGGTCATGTAGGTGATGGTTGGTCCTCCAGGATCTTCACAACAGAAGATGCATCCTTCCCTCTAATGTGACTGGCATCTCCAACATATTGTGCCTTGATCCTTTATCTTTCCTACAGCTTTTCTGCCTCTCACTGAGGTTTCATGGGCTCCTCATCTTCCTGAGCCCACCCACTGCGTGCACGAGGGCTTTGCTTTCTTGTGCACCATGGTCACCCTTCTTCATCCCCTATTGCTATCAGAACCACCCATGGTGGGGTGGTTCTGATAGCAGTCCTTCCTGCCAAATGATGGGATCAAAGTACTCACAGTCCATCTCAAAGAACCGTTCACCTTCCAAAATCTCCCTGCGCCCACCTCCCTGATACCAACCCACCTCCTCCGTGACGGCTGCGGGCTCGGAGTGGTGGCAGCTGCCCGGCACTGTGCCGCTAGCTCCCTGCTGCACAGACTTCAGCTGTCAGAGGTGATATTTTCTGTGCCAGCTGTTAAGCATTTTTTAAGAAATTTCTGCTAAAATGATTTTTTTTTTTTTTGGTAAAGTGATTGTGGGAAAGTGTGTTATTTCACCTTCTTAAAAATTCGGATCATTTTTCTGAGCAGTTCTCGTTTTTCCAAGCTTTGGAGCAGGTAGTTACTGCGGCACCTTTTTTTTTTTTTTTTTTTTTTTTTTTTTTTTTTCCTCTTGTCAAAAAATCCTCCTGTGGCCTAGTTTATGCGCATGTTAAAAATCTGTTTGCACTTGCTGAGTCCATCTGCACGGAGCGGTTACACGCGGCCGTGCTGCGGGCGCAGCACCCAGACAGCGCGGCTGCTCCCGAAGCAGCCAGGTGCCACCACCCCGTGGGGCTGCTCCCTGCCACGGTGGCAGTGACGATGAGGAAGGAGGGCTTGTTCTTCTGCCCTCGGCTGGTTCAGGCACAGTATGGAATGCATAGGAGGGAATATTGTTTTCTGCTTGCTGAGTGTTTGCAAAAGCTCTGTCAAATTGTGTGTTTCCTATAGTGATGGGTGATGTACAAAGCTTTCTACTGCTACACAGTGTGCTTTAAACTGAGGTGAAGAAGATGGCATAGAAAGTCCAGAGGTCCTGGTTTTGCTAACTGAAGTTTGTGTGGTCCTACAGGCTGATGACTTTATAGTTTTGGCTATGCCTAAATGTTTCCTCCTCATCCTCCAGCAAGTGCTCTCTTCTAACTTGTCATCTGTGGCCTGGGTTGGTACTTCCCAATTTCCACCCAAACATTCAGGCTTCTCTTCGTGGATTTTTCTCTGATGCTTCCATCATAGCTTTTTAAAATTCACCAGTCTTTGCTACTTGTACAAATAGTTCTGATATTCTGATTATTAGAATACAACAAATAACAGCAACAACAAAAAAAAAACCACACAGACTGCCTGTGATCATGTAATTAACAGCTATATCATAGTGGGGACAGGAAAGGGCCAAATTCAAGTTGCCCAGGGACCCTTAATTCTAGCACTTCCCGGCTTTTGAGTGTGACAGTATGCAGTATTAACAATCTTTTAGCTTACTTCTTAATACATGCGTACATCAACATTAAAGGAGAGGTTGAGACTTCCAGTATGTGCCCTCAATGCAGGCTGGAGGGCGAGGTGCTTTGCTCGGATCAGCTTCACTGCAGCAGCCAGCGATGACCGGGAATCTTCGGCTTGGCTGGGGCATGAGTCAAAGGGCAGTGGAATGGGGAAAATACAGAAAAAAAGAAGGACAGGGAACCTGGTTCAGATCCAAAGGGATTGGATTTGAATTCAGACAAACAAGTAAAAGCAAAATTTATTTCTTGTTCAATCTCAGATGGAAACTCCTTAATGTCTTTACCTAAGGTGGTCTCTGTATGGAAACGTTTTAGAATTGTAGGAAACTGTTTTTATTCTTAGAAGGAAAAGTTGTTTTTCACTTGAAATCCGTTTTGTTTAATGTAAGGAAGGACAGGGTTTAGTAAGAACAGTTTAGACTAGTCTAAATACTATGTTGGATATTTTTTCCAATAATCTCATGAAGAAGGCCCTCATCGTCCTAAATTCTTATATCCAGCTAATTGTGAAATTTGCAGCTATTCTTACATAGCTAATAGTGAAATGACACTGCTTATTGCTGCAGGAGATACTCTGTCACCTTCATTGCCTTCTTGAGGGACAGAATTTGGGGATTTCCTGTTGTTTTGTATGGCCACAAAACTACTGAACACTCATGGCTTTTTTTACTCTCAGTAGGTTTAACTATAAGTCTAAATGGTAGCAAAATTAAGCCCCAAAATTCAGTTCTTGGTTTGATAATGTAAGAGGCCACCAATATTCCCTCTAATTGTTTGAGTTTCTCTGGATGACATCGCTTAGTGTTCAGCAGCTTATTTTCATATCATTTTTTCTGGGCACTTGATTAAAACTTAGAAAATAAATGCATTTTTTATTTTTATTTTATCTCTGAAATATGATTATAAATGACCT